TTGAGACAGATGATGTGTAATATTATGATGTGATCGTGATATGATTGTGATTGATGACATGTGCATATTCATTATTCATCCCATGTGTGAACTATCTGTTGCATGAGTTCTGAGACACTGATATGAGGATGGATGGATATGAGACACAGTTGAGACTAGCTCCGGCTAGAGATATATGAGATGGACTAGCTCCGGCTAGCGATTTGGATGCCGATGGGATCTGGTTCCGGCGGTGATACATGGTCCATGTGTGGCCCCCATGGGTTCTGATTTGAGTATTCAGCGCGGTCTGAATTACGTCAACAGATGTGTATCTTAGGACAGTGCATCACGACTACATGACATCATTATTGCATTTGCATCGCATTTGACTTCATCTTTGTCTGTGGTGTGTGGATTTTACCTACTTGCTCCTCTTCATGTGATATATGATCTATTTGCTCTTATATGAGGATATGAGGTTGATGTTGAGATACTGTTGGATATATCTGTTGATTATGAATTGTGTAGTATAGGTTGTTGGTTCGCTGTTAGAATGAAGATTCGGTGTTCGGTTGGGATTGAAAGGAGTTGTTTGTAGCTGCTAGTTTAGCTTAGTTTAGTGTTACTTGCGAGTACCTGTTGCTTTTGGTACTCACCCTTGCTTCTACACAGTTGTGTAGGTTGACAGCTCTATCAGATCCGGCTTATTACTCATCTTCAGATTAGAGCTTCCAGACTTACTTGAGAGGTAGCGGTTCATTCCAGACGTGCCCTCAAGTTATCTATATTTACTGTTCTGTTCTATTCTAGAACTTTACTAAGAGACCTGTATATTTTATTCAGATTTTGTATTAGAGGTTTGTACATGTGACAACCAATTTTGGGGTTATGTTGAGTTTATTTAAAGACTTCCGCTTATCTTTCTATCTTATTCTTGTTTTATAAATTCTGTATCGTCGGGTTTTTGGGTGTTAGGCTGACGTGTCCGGTGGGGTTTGGGCACGTGACATCATATCTGGTTTTGGGGTGTGTCAGAAACTCAAAGATGAGGCTTGAAGTACTCATTCTTCCACCTTTGCAGCTTCATATTTTCAGATTTGATTTAAGAGAGAAGAGATGAAGGGCAAATTTGGTCCCATCGGGCGTGCCAATTTGTTTGCAACAAATTTTAAAGTGATAGGAAATAAATTGCAATCACAATAAAATAGGAAGAAACATAACTTTATTGATAAAGATTGCGGGTTCAATTATGTTCCTCCCTTGTTTCTACTCTCCTAAGATTTATCCATGATTCGAGGGCCGTTAGTGGCGTATTTCTCGAACTAGGATGATTTAGATTTGACATCTATATGAATATTCCATCAATTTGCGGAATATTCGAGATGCCTTATAAGGGAATTTAGTAACCTTTATATAGGCATGAACTAGGGTTTGTGGTTGAACAGCCTCCAAAAATTCTAATTGAAACTGAACACACCTTCTAGAGTCCCAATTCGAATTGAACACATCTTGTAAAGTCCCACAAAATTTCAATGTCTACAAATATGTCTCAACTATTTGAATTGATACAAAATTATTTTCGATCCACCTTTCATCCCCCAAATATCACTAACATCAACATTTTCGCTCAAAATACTCTTATTTCTAATGGTCCGCACTTATAAGGTGGATGAAAGGCAATATTGTACCAAATCGCATAGTTCAGGGTTAGTTTAGGTCTTTTTCTGTAAATAATTGAAGTTACTTAATATATAGGCACATATGATTGACTTGATTTTGAGTTTCATAATAAAATAATATTAACAAAAAAGGTTAGTCCTCTACTCTCTACACTTTCCTTGCCCCCCCCCCCCCCCCCCCCCCCCCCCCCCCCCCTATCCTCTCTCTTCCATTGTTTTTTCTTTTTTCTTTTTGGATCTTTTCCATCATTTTAAATTTAAATAATTTTCTTTCAACTTATGACAAAAAAAAAGGAGTAAAATATCTTTATAAAAAAAGAGCAAAATAACGACGACATCATTTTGATTTTAAAAAATAATAATAACGACGACATTCATACAAAAATATGTAGTTCAATAGAAGATTTAATTAAGTGACTATATACGTATAGTGCATTTTTCTTTTGTGTGTGTACCCAAAATTCAAAATAAAAAGAATGAAAATAACTTTTCCTCCTACCCCACACACCCACACCACCATGAAAATAATATAATTAAGAGCATATGAACATGTAAGTTCATTTAAGAAAAAAAAAATGAGAGAATGAGCAAGACAGATAATTGAATGGAAAATTTATCTGAATAATAATAATCTTTTTTAGATGAAATATCATATGGGACGAGTATGAATTTTAGTTAAATCTCAATTATGAGTTCACTCGCTTATAATAAATTGGTTGTTGATATAAAATAGGTCAATACTTAATAGTAACATATCATGAAATTAATAATTTTTGAATATTATTTTATGTATATCGGATCAAAACATGAATCATGTGTAATTTTAATTATTCATTTGATAAGGGTTTAACATTAATTCAATTAGATTAGATAACATAATAAATAATATTTAATTATTTTACTTCAAGGGGCTTCGTTAAAAATAAGGGCAATTATGAACCAAATGGTTAATATCAAGGGTATTTTTGAGCCAAAAAGTTGATGTGATAAGTATTTGGGGCCGAAAGGTAAATGAAGAATAATTTTGTATGAATTCAAATAATTGAGGGGCATTTTAGGGCCTAATCCGTATTTATTATTATTGGGTATTGGTGCAAATTAACAGTTTTGTATGAATTTAGATAATTGAGGGGCATTTTAGGGCCTTATCCGTATTTATTATTATTGAGTATTGGTACATCTCCTTTCTCATTCTGTCCCTATTTGACTTATCAATTTAAATTTGCAATAGATGCTATCCCCTGCAACAAAACATCTTTGACATATACAAATTTATGGGTGGGTTTGTTCTTCTTCTGCCCATTATACAAATTTATGAGAAGAGTTACAGAATACTACTGGGTTAGAAAAGAAAATTCAAAACTCCTGCAATGATATTCAACAAGAAAGATTCGTTTATCTCAAAGGGGTCTCTAGGTGGGCAAAGCAGAAACGAAACAACTCAGTTTTCAGGATAAAATGACCACACACACACATAAAAGAAAGTGAACAATAGTAGTCTTTCCTCGTGAAATTATGACTATAGCTACTATGCATCATTTAAATACAACTTTTTTCTTTTAAATATTCATACTAGAAATTTACTATATGCAACAGTGCAAAGACATTAATGATGATAGCTATAAATATTCTAAAATCTTATTTTTATACATATCATATGTAATTTTATAAAAAGTGCACCGCAATGTATGAATGTCATTGTTCTTTTAGGTAGAACACGTTGTTATAGAGAAGTAAAATATAACATGAAAAATTAGTTGTCAATCGTTATAGTAAAATGTTGTTATAACGAATGGTTGTGATAATGAACCTTGATGTAGTAGGTTATCAACTTCACGTACCACTTAAAATGTTACACCTTCACTGAACTCTTACGGTGCTGCTATCTTGTTTCAACTTGACGAGACTATTCTCAATGTTCCATAAAAGAGGTTTATAGCTGGAAAATATTAAGATGGTAGTGTTACTAGTTAATAACAAAAAGGATATGGGCAAATTGCTTATGAATATGTCAACAAGTCTAAAAGATACATACATGCGAGTGAGACCACTGTATGCTTGTGTGGCCTGCTGGAGCCGTGCATTAAGCTGCAAGATTTCAGCAGACAAGGCTTCTATTTTGCTCTGCTCTTCAGCTAGCGAACCCTAAATCAACAACCGATTCGGAGGACACAACTATTATTATTATTTTATACTGCACCAAAATCATAATGACAAGGAATTCAATCTGTCTGGAATGATCAGTCCCAACACTTTTGAGTATTACAACCTTTTTTCCCATAAATGAGACTTCCCGTAAGTTCATTATGTGTTTTGTGACTTGTGGGGATGGCTGACATGGGTCACAAGGAACTTCGGTGTGTTCTGTTGGACAATAATAACATATCTAGTGAAATCCTACAAGTGAGGTTTGTAGGATAAATGTACGCAGACCTTACCACTGTCCTGTTCGTGGAGGTAGAGAGACTGTGTTTGAAAAATCTTCGGCTCAAGTGCAACAAATTAGCAAGTAACAAGGTAACAGTGCAAAGTCTATCGGAAAGGAACAATAAAATAATGGGATATCAAAACACAGTAAACAACATACTAGTAAAGATTATTAAAAACAATAATAAACAATGATAAAAATAAAAGGCAAGAACTATAATAATACAACTAGTACCATGACAAAAGTCACCCTTAGCAACACAACACTACACTACCTACTAACCTTCTATCCTATTATGTGTCATCCACACCCTCCTATTTAAAGGTCATATCTTCAGTATCCTAAAGTTGTGTTATATCCTACCTTATCACTTCTTTCTAATACTTATTCGGTCTACCTCTGCACTCCTCATACATATTAGTTAGTTGTTTTAGGACTACAATATATACTTTTAAGTTTCATATATTTCAATTTTCAGTTATTTTAGAAGGTAGTTACCATGGTTAACACTATGACTTAAAAATAAAACTGATCTATTTCAGTTTATTTCTAGTAATGTTTATGTATCTATTTTTCTATATAATTAATATTACTCTTTATAAGTTTTCTCTAAGTCATCTTCATCATTTTTAGTTCCTTATATTCTCCTGCTTTCTTTCTTTTTTTGTAGCAAACTAGACAATGATTTCATTGTCTTATCTGCAATTTTCTTATTAAAAACTAACAGTCAGTATCAAAGTAGTTTTCATCTTAAGGGGTATGTGATCGAGTTGGAGAAGCCATGGATGCTGGAGCAAGTCTCACCAATTGCTCCGTTGGTCTTTGATGGAGATTAAGATAACTATCAGATTTAGGCAGTACGAATGGGGACATACATGGATGCTTTAAAATCTCTGAGAAGTTGTGGAAGAGGATTGCGATATTCGGTCTACCTCTGCACTCCTCATACATATTAGTTAGTTGTTTTAGGACTACAATATATACTTTTAAGTTTCATATATTTCAATTTTCAGTTATTTTAGAAGGTAGTTACCATGGTTAACACTATGACTTAAAAATAAAACTGATCTATTTCAGTTTATTTCTAGTAATGTTTATGTATCTATTTTTCTATAGAATTAATATTACTCTTTATAAGTTTTCTCTAAGTCATCTTCCCTTATATTCTCCTGCTTTTTTTTTTTTTTTGTAGCAAACTAGACAATGTTTTCATTGTCTAATCTGCAATTTTCTTATTAAAAACTAACAGTCAGTATCAGAGTAGTTTTCATCTTAAGGGGTATGTGATCGAGTTGGAGAAGCCATGGATGCTGGAGCAAGTCTCACCAATTGCTCCGTTGGTCTTTGATGGAGATTAAGATAACTATCAGATTTGGGCAGTACGAATGTGGACATACATGGATGCTTTAAAATCTCTGAGAAGTTGTGGAAGAGGATTGCGATATTCCAGCCCTACCGTATAATCCCATCATTTTGCTTAGATTAAAGCACACACGGAAAAGAAGACAAAGAAATCAAAGGCCAAAGGCATGTTTATTTGTTGTTCTATCATCAACAGTTTCCACACGGATAATGTCTCTGAAAACTGCTAAAGAAATGGAATTATCTCAAGGAAGAGTATGTCGGAGAGGAGACAATAAAAGGTGTGCAAATTTCAAACTTAATGACGGAGTTTGAATTGCAAAAAATGAAGTAATCTAAAACAGTGAATGAGTATTCAGATAGACTTCTAAATATTGCAAATAAGGTGAGGCTACTCGGCTTTACACTTGCAGATTCGAGAATTGTTGAGAAGATTCTTGTAACAATTCTTGAAAGGTATGAAGCAATAATTAAGACCTTAGAAAATACTAAGGATTTGTCAAAAATTAATTTGACAGAGTTGTTCAATTCCCTGATAGCTCAAAAGCAAAGAAGAATCATGAGACAAGATGTTAAAACAGAAGGAGCTCTTGTCAGTAAGAATCGGGTTAACAAAATTCAAAAGAAGAAAAAGAATCAAGCATTGAGTGAAAGAGAAACATCAACCAACAGCAAAAGTAAGGGAGAAAGTTAGAAAAGTTATCCCCCTTGCCACCACTATGGAAGAAAAGGGTCATCCACCATTCAAGTATGGAGGAGACTTGATGCTAAATGCAAGAAATACAATCAACTTGGACACAAAGCAGTGATTTGCAAAAATAAGACCCCGGTAGGAAGGAAATACTCAAGTTCTTGATCAAGAAGAAGATCATCTTTTTGTTGCAACATGATTCTCAAGTAAGAGCCCCACAGATTCATGGTTAATTGATAGTGGGTGCACTAAGCACATGACTTAAGACAAGAGCCTATTCAAGGAGTTGAAGCCCACTGAAATTTCCAAGGTTCGAGTAGGAAATAGAGATCACCATCTTGTCAAAAGGAATTGGAATCATAGTTATCAAGACAAGCACTGACCCAAATAAAATTTCACAAGTTCTTTAGGTTTCTGAAATTGATCAAAATTTACTATTTGTAGGACATCTAATGGACAAAAGGATGCAGAATTTTCCTTCAAAAATAATCATTGCCAAATTTGTGACACTACTGGAAATGAAATTTTCAGGGTGGAAATGAGAGGGAGGAGTTTTTCCTTTGATCCAACGGAGAAAAAACAACTAGCTTATTCCATGAAGGCAAGTGTAACAGAAATCTGGCACTAGAGACTTGGTCAATGTCATCTACAAGCATTATTGTTGCTGAAGAAGGAAGATACGACAAGAGGACTACCAACTCTAGTTGATCACTCACCAAGTTGGTCAAGCTTGTCAATTTAAAGCATTAGGGCATACTTCTTAGAGGTTACAACAGATTAACACAGATGTTCCAGGACCTAAAAGAACAGCATGCCTTAGTGGTAATCTATACTATGTTACATTCATTGACGATTATACAAGATTCTTCTGGATTTTTTTCATGAAATACAAATCAAAAGTGGCTAGAATTTTTTCGATGTTCAAGAAGATGATGGAAAATCAAAGCGGTTGGAAAATCCAATCCATGTGGTCTAAAAATGGAAAAGAGTATAATTCTGAAAAAAAATTAACAAATTTTGTGAGGAAACAGGTATTACTCATCAACTTAAGTGCTCTATATACTCTGCAACAAAATGAAGTTAGTGAAAGGAGGAACATATATATAATGGAGATGACGTGAAGCCTATTGCATGAAAAAGTGTTGCCAAAAAGTTTTTGGGCTGAGGGAGCTAATACAACAATATTTCTCCAAAATCGGCTTCCCACTAAAGTATTGCAGAATAAAACTCTATTCGAGGCTTGGAATGAATTCAAACCATCACTAAGCTTCATTTAAGTATTTGGTTGTGTTTGTTTCTTTCATGTGTCGCAAGTTAAAAGAGAAATGATTTTCTTAATCAAACTTGGGAGTATAACTATGTGTATCCCTTGATTCTTGTATCTAATTTATTTTCCTTGATTCGAGAGGGGAAGCCCTGATGAAAGTGAACCTTTATTATTTCATTTCCTTTTCTCTTCGAACGGATTAGAAGGAAGGAAATAGTCGTGATGGATCAATGCAATTGTGCATTGACTATTGTGCACTAAACAAGATAATTGTGAAGAAGAAATACCATATTCTCTTGATCACCAACTTGTTTGATAGATTAGGGAAGGTTAAGTTCTTCACGAAGGTAAACTGGTAAACTTGCTAAAAAGGTAGTTCCTGGAATCTTTATAGCTCATCCTCCAAGGCCTACAAATTATATAATCCACAAACAGTGAAGATGATTGTCAATAGAGATGTGTACTTTTATGAGGAAGGGAATGGGACCGAAAGGACAATCAACTTTTAGTCAAAGCTTCAGAGGAGCAAACATCCGATCAATGGCAAAATGAGTTAGTGGATGATCCTCCAATTAGAGGTACAAGATTACTCTCTGACATCTACCAACAAAGTAATGTGGCAATTTATTTATTTTTTGAAAATGGTAATGGTGTATTCTTCAGCATTAAGGAGATGTTGGTGACCTGCAAACAGAGGGGAACAAAAGAAGAGAAAAAAAAATATTTACAAGGGTCCTAATAATTCTACAATTTGTTCTGTAACCTCTAAACCTTTCTCTTTACACTAAAAATAAAAGGATGCAATACAATCCCATCTAACCTTCTGAATGGAATCGGACCTATCTTCAAAATTTCTACTATTTCTTTCTTTCCATACTGTCCACCAAATGCAATTTGGAATTATCCTCCACCATGCCTTTTGACTCTTGCTCCCCACTCTTCTTATCCAACAACTCAACAAATCTGCAGTATGCTCGGGCATGGTCCAATTTGTTTTTGTGAGACTAAGGAAGATGGCCCAAATTTGTGTTGTAAAGTTGCAATGCAAGAATAGATGTTGGTTGGTCTCTGCTGCGTTCCGGCATAATGAACACCAAGATACTATAATCTTTCCTTTTCTCCTCAGCACTTCATGTGTCAGGCAAGCCCTTCTAGCAACCAACCATGTAAAGCATTTTATCTTAGTTGGTGTTAAGGTTCTCCATACCTTTCTCCACAAACTCTGCTTAGAGTTGCGTTGCTGTGGACTTTCCATTTTGTATGCTCTGCTAACCGTGAAAGCCCCATCTTTACTATGTTTTCATCTCAAAGAATCAGGAGCATTGGTGATGCCAGGGAATTTTTCTAATAGCTCTAGCAATTTGGCCACTCTCTCCTCTTCCCAGTCATTCAAAAAC